TTACACTGACAAACAAGGAATTCAATGGACCTTTTATCTCTTTCTATGATTTTCCTCCCCCACCCTTGTTTCTGGTTAAAAATTTAGATTATTTTGGTAGTTCCAATTCACCATGAAGTCTAAATGGAGCAATACATGTGCATTATTTCAATTCAAAACAAAAAAATGTAAGTATTGTTTGATAAGCGAAACGGAACAAAATAAACTAATTTTACATTTTGTTTATTGCATTTTAAAGTTAAAAAAAAAATTACAGGACCCACGAGTATAATTATATTAAAATAATTAATATAAATTATAATAAGATAGCTTATATTAAAAAATTATTACAATAATTTTCACATGAAAAAAATGTTAAGTAAAATAATTTTACTAATATCCAACTACAATTCTGTTTAAATACTACTAAACTTTTCTTTGCCGATATTACAAATATAACTGTATTTTACTAATGTATGATATATTAACAAATATAGAACAATTTTACATTATCATTTAATCATAAATTACTATAAATAATAAATTTTTAACTTTTATAATAAATAAATAAAATGTCATATTAATATAAATATTTGATTGATTGATAATGTAAAATTATTCTAGTTGTATCATCATTAAACTCTTAATTTTAAATATAACTCTATAAGAGAAACTTATTATTAATTTGTTTTAATACAATTAAAAAAAAATGTGATAAACCGACACGTTTTGCCGGTCAATACGTTATATATCATGATTGTGTTACGCATGAACATTCTTATTCATTAACTGAATATTTAAAATTTACAACATTATTCATTTTTTTTTTGGTACATTCTAATTTTCTGTATACATTTCAATATTATTCATTTAATCATTAATTAAACATAAAGAAAAGTATATTATGCCAACCCAAAAACTGTAGACTTCTGACTTGACTATCTTTCAAGAGAATCAAGACCAAGGTTAACGGAAACAAAGTATTTCATTTAGGTATGCATGCTTGAGATAATGCTAAGCAACAGAAACATATATATATATAAATCTTAATGCACTTTTATATTTTGTCAGCGATGTCAACTCTATAAGAGATTATATATAAAATAGTTAGAAAGTGACAGATAACAGAAAAACGTATTTTTTATGACAAAAAAACTGTGGATGGCTTTGTTGAGTGAATAAAATATCCTATGCTTTGACAATTTAGAATGTCAAAAAATAGTTTAGTTATTCAACATAATGGTTGCCCACAAAACCAATGTTGAAGAAAGTTGAGTTTCATGCACCAACAAGCTGCAACATCATATATTTAAATGGTTTTATTGTTAAAATCACATATAGGGAGAAGACTTTGGCCTTTTTCATGATAATCAAAATGGTTGAAGTGCCAGCTCACTGACCGACCTTGAGACTATGCACCACGTTAGTATATCTTATGTATTATAATATTATTGATAATATTATAGCGTGGAATTAACTTCCAGTGAGGGACTAACGCACAAAGTTATTAAATTTGCTTTTGGATGATGGATTGGGTCATTTAATAAAATCCCAAGAGACAGGGAAGATCGCATGCTTTGATTTGCATTCCTCAATAATTGATTGTAACTCTTCAACATCTGTTATATCTTCCACAATCAAATGCAATATTTTAATTAGATATGACTAATTAATTTAGATGCTCCTAAAAGCTTCAAGCCTAAACAATAAACTAACTAGTTAGCACACCTTGACTCCAAGAATCTATATATAGCCAAAGTTGGAGACATATTAGCACTGTGGCAAAAGTTAGAAAAACACAGACACAGAAACAGACAGAATGAGGAGCAATCATGTGCGTTTGAACTGTGGCATTACATTGCCTCGTATTGGATTTGGCACTTATTCCTTCCCAAATGATAGGAAGACAACAGAACTTGCTGTCCACAAGGCCCTTGAGGTACTAACCATACTTATATAGTGCCTTAAAACCCTTTTGCATTGGGATTTCTTTTATACAATTTTATGTCCCCTATTTCACTATCTCTTATGCGCACTACTATTATAGAAAGGAAAAGCTACATGGCTTTCTATATTTTAAGCTTGTTTAAATACGAATTTAGAAGAACTTCTTTATTTAGAAAAAACTCTTTACATTCAATACAAAAAGCCAATCTCAAAAGTCCTGTAATTAAACATACTCTAAATTCTTAACTTTGCTTATTGTTGATATTTGATACACGTGCATGTACATATATGCAGATGGGTTATAGGCATTTTGACTCAGCAAAAATATATGGTTCTGAGCCAGCAGTTGGCAAAGCCATAAATGAGGCAATTTGCGTGGGAGAAATAGAGAGAGAAGACATTTTCTTAACATCCAAACTGTGGGGGAGTGATCACCATGATCCCGTTTCTGCATTGAAGCAAACTCTAGAGTAAGCAAATAGAATCTTTGAAGATGTGAATTGCATGCCTTGGCTTTCCAACAAACTTGAGGGAAATTTTCAGATACACCCCTACCATATCTTAACCCTTGGCTTTTCATGATTTTTCTAAAGTAAATAAGCTAAAATGCATGTGGTGTATCATAATTACCAAAATCAAAATCTCATGGGATAACAAAAACAATGGAGTTAACTTGTGGCCAAGAATGACTGAATATTGTCTTGTCATGCCCCACAAGTGGACATGGGAAACAAATATGTGACAGAATCTTTCTTAATATTGCAGCTAATTACTTAATTTTGAAGAATGGGGACAAATCGTGTTGGAAATCTAATGTTGATTTTATTCGTTTCATTAATTGAATACAAAACAGGAATATGGGCATGGAGTACTTGGACATGTACCTAGTGCACTGGCCTGTGAGTTTGAAGCCATGGGTTGACTACCCTGTACCGAATGAAGACGACTTTGAAAAGTTGGACCTTGAAACCACATGGGCGGGGATGGAGAAATGCCTAGAAATGGGGTTGTGTAGGTGCATTGGAGTTAGCAATTTCTCTAGCAACAAGATTGAGTGCCTATTGGATTATGCTTCTACACCTCCAGCTGTAAATCAGGTCAGTAGAGTTAAATCTTGAGGGGCATTAGTACTATTTATTCACATTATAATAATTTGTTTATTATTCATTGATAATCGAACTTGGTATCAAGAGACTTTCAACACTCGTACATCTTGTTCAACTTACTTGATTGACCATTACAATAATTTAACACACCCAATATTGGTACACAGGTGGAAATGCATCCAATGTGGAGGCAAGGAAGGTTGAGAAAGACTTGTGGAGATCACAAGATACATGTAAGTGCTTATTCACCACTTGGTGGGCCAGGGAATGCATGGGGATCAACAGCAGTGGTTAATCACCCAATCATTCGATCAATTGCCTTCAAACACAAAGCAACTCCAGCACAGGTAAAACTCAACTCCAAACCCTTGTTTATTAGGTGCAATGGTGTGAAATTATATCAGATATTTGAATTTTATCATTAGTTGAATGAAAATATTTAACATAGGTTTTCACTATGCTTTTGAAGGTTGCATTGAAATGGGGACTATCAAAGGGGTCAAGTATGATTGTGAAAAGTTTCAATCATGGAAGAATGAAGGAAAATATAGGAGCGTTTGATCTGAGACTTGATAATGAGGATATGTTGGAGATTGAGAAATTGGAGGAAGTGAAGATTATGAGGGGGGAGTTTCACGTTAATGATACCACAAGTCCCTACAAAACAATTGAGGAACTTTGGGATGGTGAAATTTGAATGCAAAGACAAATGTAATGTTTGTCTTGGTGACCAGATTCTTCATTCCTTAGAATTGAGAAATGGTGATGATTTAGAATGATCACAGCATAAAAAAAGAAAAAAACAAAGAAACACCTATTTTGTACAACTAAACTTGCTTTTGCGAGTTACTGTAACTATATTTTACTTATGTTGCTTATGAATGATATTTCTCTCACTTTCTCCGCAATTGTCATCATCGTATTTAAAATTTTAAGCGTGTGGCTCCAAGCCCAACTTTTGACTATGTGCTCATGGAACACCTAAATATGAACTAATACATCATATATGATTAATATTTATGTGTTTGAATTATAGTTAAACTTAACTTTTTAAACCAACTTTAAAAAATAAGCAACATTTTTCTTATTTTTGATCTAACTGAGATTTACTAACAATTCACACACACACACACAAAAAAAAAAA